CAGTGGACGGCCAGAGGATCTCCAGGGGCCTGGGCCTTTGGGAGCAAACGGGGGAGGGGGAGAAGGGAGGGGCGCCGAACAGCCTGGAACCCTGAGGGCCCTGTGCTGCTGCTGGGTTCTTCCTGGTCCCCGAAGCCAAGCGACTCAAGCCTGGGAAGGTGTGCTCCCACCGGGACAGATTCCTCAGACACAGGCCACCCCCACTCCCAACCTTTTGGGGTGGGGTGTGGCTCCTGCATTGTTTCCTCAAAGGGGCCCACTGTGCCGCGACCTCAACTCCGGGCTTTCGAAGGAAGAGACCGGAAAATCGCTTCCTCGGAGCGCTCCCCACTGGGCCAGGGGCCAGGCTCGCCTCCCCAAAGGCCCCGGGCGCATCCGCTCAGTCCCTGCTCCGGCCTCCGGCCCCAAGAGCGCCCGAGGCCGAGGCCTGTCCGCCGGCCTGCGGATTCCTCAGGCCTGAGAATTCGTGGCTGTGGCCCTCAGCGTTGGAGCGCTGGACTCCTGGGCCGGGTCGGACACACCCCGCAGGCGGCAGGAGGCTGGGGGTGGGCTAGGACGTTGGTCACTTCCCCACACCATTTCGCAAGAGGGTCGCAGTGGGCGGCCTTCAGACCCTGTCTTCTGCGCAAAGAAAAAAAGAAAAAACATGTACGCAGCAAGGTAGAGAGAGAACGGCGCTGACTTGAACGGTTTTAAGACTATTTTACCCCTCTAACTTTAAAATTGGAAACAATCTAAAAAAGCCGAGGAACTCTTTTTAGGAAACAGAGCTGCACGGGGCAAGGAAGTTTTCCCCAGTGTTCGCTCTCGGGGCTCCGGTGCAGTTCTTCCCAGGACGAGCCCCTTTTCCAGAACGCTCGTCCACCTCCCATCTCCCTCCTACTCTGTTGTCCCAGGACAAAGCCCGCCGCAGGGACAGTGGGAGAAGGAGCCGTTTTGCAGGAAAGCAGTCCCAGCTCGGCTAAAGGGCCCGGGAATAGAGGCGAAGCAGCCGGCGCTGCTCGCACCCGGGAAAGTGGTGCGAACACCGCGCACCGAGGCCAGACACGCAGGAGAACAAGGCGGCACTGCGCGCCGGCCAGGATTCGAGCAGCATCCCAACCCGGGGGATTGAGGCTGAGACTCGGCACACTCGGCCCAAGGAAGATTCTTCTGGACCGCGCGACTTCCGGAGCACTCGGGGCTCCGCCCACCCAGCCCGCGCCCCGCCCCCGGCCCAGGTCCCCGCCCAGGTCCCCTCCTAGCTGTCTGGGCCGCTACTTCGAGCTGTTGAAAAGTTTGCTGGTTGTTTTGCCAGGGGAGACTTAACGTTACAAGTGGCTGAGTCAAGGCCGTTAGAGTTTCTATGAGGGGGTGGGGCAAAAACGAGGCGTCTTTTAACCGCGAGCCGTTGGCAGTGCAGGGCCCAGCAGGCAGCAGCAGGCCTCGGGCCCTGGTCACGAGTGGGTGTGCATAAGGAGAAAGGAGGGCTAAGATGCCGTGAAGTTTCCCCGGCAATCTTTTCAGAGGGGCGGCAGCCGTGACCCCATCCGGCCGGGCGAACAAGGCCAAGCTGGGTGAGCCAAGGAAAATCCCTCTTTCTTTTTTATCTTCACCCAAGGACATCCTTGCATCTATTCTCAGATAGAGCGGGAGGGAGAAAGGGGAGAAGAGAGAGAGAAACATCAACGTGAGACACATCGAGTGGCTGCCACCCACACGACCCCAACCGGGGCGGGGACAAACTGCAACCGAGGCACGAGCCCTTAGCGGAACCGAACCCGGGACTCTCCGGACCGCAGGCCGGCGCTCCCACCGCTGAGCAAACCCGGCCAGGGCGAAAATCCCTTTCTTGACAGACGGCTCTCTGGGGGATGCGGGGTGGAGGTTGTAGCGCGAACGCACTCAATAAAGCGCTTTTAACGCCTCTTGCAGCAGAGCGTCAGGTGCAGTTCGTATGTGTGCTGTGAAACCATTCACTGGAATTCGCGGAGAGGGGTATCGAGGTCAAGAGTGTATGGGAGTCTCGTTTCCACGAGGCGACAGGGAGATGGCTGGGCCGGCTGGGCGAGTCTGGCTCACGCCTGTGCTCCGAACTGCGGTTTCGCGCGTGGGTTTCAAAGAGAGCCTCACTGCGGGTCTGACAATGGTTGTGGCACGTCGGAAGCGCGTCACCAAGGGCTTTCCCTGAAGCCCTAGTTCTGGAGGCGGAATTTGCAGCCCTAGTCGGGTGAGGGCCAAACGTACCAGCCCTGGGACCCGTCCGCTGCAAGTAGAGAAGGGCCGCTTTCGGCCCAGCCACGGCCCAGGAGCAAGGCGCGCGCTTCGCTGGCCCACAACCCCACGTCGCGTGGCAGCAGCTTGCCTGGCGATCAGGAAAGGAAGGCCGGCAAGCCTGCCTGGGTTTTCCCGCGCCAGAGCAACAGATGCACCTGTAAAGGCTCAGTAAGGGCTGTCCCAGCAGCCCTGTGGACGAACACGCGATGCCCGACACGCCCACACTTGCACACACGTGTTGTTTGTACTCATATACCGCACACACCACGGGTACCGCCGCGATAAGGAGCCTTACGGTTACAGATCTCCTGTTAAGGGGCAGAGCTTTGAAAAAAAAACCACCCCTAAATGTATGTTAAAATGTTTAAAATCCAGCAGCTAACACTTACTGGCAATGCTCTACCTTGTGTTC